AGTTTGAGTTTGGGGCGTAGTGTCGGACTCAAGGTATTGATCTTTCGTCTTGAATATCAACAAGATCGACAGTCTGTTGTCTGGGACGTACTTCGGGAGTCCGAGTAGGGTTCCGAGATGTGGAACTGTGGTTTCTACTGTCAGTATTCCCACGGCTTTTGAAATTGTACATGATGGTGGTGGTGCTGATACAAAGCCAACGCTGCCGTTGCTGTTGATGATGATGATGATCTGGATCTGTCCACACCTGCCTTGAGTAGTATGCTTGACGACCAATGCAGTGTAGTGGCGGTCCTTGCCAGGGACGAAAGCCTCAGCCGCTGTTCCCGGATGTGGAGGCCGACGTGCACAAATACAACGAAACCAGATCCAAAACTCTGGAAGTAGACTTGTTCTGTACGCATGCTCGCAGGTCAACATGCAAGCCAGCTTTTCGAACAGCCACAAGTTCATGTTATTTCGGCAGCTGTTCTTCTCTGTATGAGTTGCCAACCCTACATCGTGTCAGGGAGCCAGTGGGAGTGTTAACAGGATACAGGGCTGGCCTGGATGTGGAGTTCTCGCCAACGATTCCTTGCAAGGGCGTGTCCTGAACATTGCCACGAGATGAGCCATGCAGTTGTGACCGAGAGTTGCACAAGACAGTACGTGGCCTCTTTTTCATATTTGTGGTGTGGCACCACCTTCAAGATGGTGTTGATCATTCGGTGGGTCTTCCAGTCATGTCGGGGACCGGTGGGTATTCTCCGTGTTCCAGTCGTTGTCCCGATGCATGCGCGATTCACCGACGAGGATGGGGACCATCTGCTGCGTGGGCACATGAACCTCAGCCCTGAACCTTTACTATTCGAGCCATCCTAAGCCCCTAAACCCTAAACCCTATACAAACCCGGTGCAGTCTGATGAAACCACAACGCCGTGAGGCGAACCCGCCGGTGCTCTCCGGAGAGCTTGCGACCGCAGGCTCTCTCTGCGGAGCGTTCCGAGGGTTTCCTTTCGGGAGGTTTGGGTGTCGGGTCTTGTCCATGTGGATACTGCTATGCAGGGTACATATGAATAGCCCGTTAGCCGTGGAACCTCCTCCGGCAGTGCCGCGTCGAAAAAAGTTCAGGTTTCAGGTTTCAAGGCTCAAAGTTGAGGCTCAAAGAAAGGGAGTTCTTGAAAGGGCCGAGGGGCTGGGCATCCGTCTTCTTGCGCTTAAACGTGTTTAAGATTATCGGTCCAGGGTAGATTCGGCTCCGGGTCCCTGGCCTGATGGCTCCAGGGCTCACCGGTCTACGGGTTCGAGTTCAGGTTTGGGCTTTTGGCTTAAGGGTTTAAGGTCAAGGTCAAACAAAATTCTCGGTCCTGGGGTGAAATCAAAGCTTAGGGTTTCAGGTCCAGGGGGTTCGTTCATTACTGGTACAATTCAGGTGCAAGTTCAAGGGCACCTCACTGCTGCACGCTAACTCCAAAAAAGGTAAACACGATGCACACAGCACTTGACGGCCCCCAGACCTGAAATGCTTCAAAGTGGATCTATGGCCGAGGCTCCCATACTCACTGAGCCAAAAGAATCAACACGCGAACAGCGACCTGCTTGCAATCTGCAACCTCGAAACCCCAAAGCCTACTGACCAACTTTCTCAATTTCCCTTATAATCCCGGTATGAAGCATAAGATGCCCCAAAACATTATTCCAAGCACGTAGGCCGTATCTATAGCTAGCCCCATAAAACCAACACCGCCCAAGTGGCTGCCCAGAGCCCATTGTGGGCATGTACTCAGCGAGTCCGAGCTGTAGCGTGCCTGCCCGGCAGCCCAGTCGGGCGGTTTCTTCAACTTCGGAGTCGTCTGGGCTCCAGGGTTAAGGCTTCAGGGTTTCAGGGTTCAGGGGTTGCATGGTAAAGATGCTGCAGTTATGTTCTCTGCCGGCTTTCTGCTTTTGTTGGGGTTTCGGGCGGTGTCAGCTTTCAAGGGTTTAAGGCTTCGAGGCTACCATAAACTTAAGTCCCAAACCTCGAAGAAGACTTTAACATGCGTGAGCTGTGTATGAACGGCAGCATCAGCAGGAAGAAACGTGGTGACCATATGTTGATGTTCACAATAGAGGTGATTATTATCATCAGTGCTCTTAATTAATGTTGTTGTTAAGCTTGTACCATGATTCCGAATTTGGTGGTGATGATTGTTCTTGTTCAACAACTTAGCTCTGCTAATGGTAGCAACAGGAGTATGCACGGCCCTGACCCCTAAGCCCCAACCTGGCGGGAACTCGAAGGCTCGCGTGTACCGCGAGGTGCGAGCTGCCCGGAACAGGGGCTCCAGGGTGGGGTGATCCAACTACTGATCCAACTACGACACGAGCCCCTTTCAAAGGGATCCCTTATCCTACCTACCTTCATCCCACCTGCTGAGGCCCGTCAAAGGCTGTGTTAGGCGTACGTTTCTTCAGGCTTTCCGGATGCAGGGCTTGGGGTTTGAGATTTAAGGCTTTCAGGGTTTCGTAAGGGTTCCTTAGCCGAAAGCCAGGGTTTAGGCTTGAAGATTTAGGGTCCTATGGTGCAGGTGGGGAGGGCTTTTTGACTTTGGGGCTCGATCTTCGCGGGTTCGAGGGCGCAAGCAAACGTTTTCGACGTTTCTCTATTTTCCAGTCTTGCTTGCTAGGGTTGTGATCATTATCACCATCGTCAGCATCACCTTACGAGACAACAGCTACACATTGATCGGCGTCCTACTGCTTTTTGGTTACATGCCGTTTGGTTTTTGTTGCTGACCTCACGGCGATGATAGCCTTTACTGTGAAGCATTTTCTTTATGGCCATTATTGCCAGTGAAAATCTGTGATCTTCTAACTGGGGCTTCAAGTTTCCCGGTTGAATCTCACGTGCCGTGTGTGCCCTGCGGACCCCCTAGCCTTTTGTCCAGAAGGCCCGAAGTTCATCTCGACTGCAAGGTCCCCCTGCCCCTGAACCCTCAACTTCAGGTTCAATAAAGGGGCTTATTTTGTTATTATACCAATAGACTATTATATTATCATATTACTATATCATTATATTCTTATGTTATTGTTATTTTCCTTCACCCAAAGCCAAACCTGAAGCAGTCTTCCAGGAACCCCAAACCCGAATCCTCGCTTCTTTCAGGACTTGCTGGCAGGGGCCAGGGACGATCCGGCGGCCTCTAAAGAGGCCTGCAAGGGTGCCATGTAATGTAGTGTAAGGTAAGATGCGTAAGGGTGAAGTGCAAAGCATGGAAGGTAAGGAGGCCATGTAATAGAATGCCATGTAACGCATTTAAAATTTAACTCCCTTCCCCTTCGTTGCTGTGCAGTGCACCACATGGCATGGTATCACAGCAAATTGCATTGCATTGCATTGCATTGCACGAATGACATATACATGTGACTTAAATGACATTGCATGACATTGCAGGACATTAAACGACGTGGCATGGCATGGCATGGCATGACCTGACGTTCGTGACATTCGGTCACATTACACGCTACATCACACGACATGACATCACACGACACTACATCATGTGACATAACATGACATGATAGCACATTGTGTTATCTGGCAGTACATGGCTTTACATGAAAATATACATATCATTATGCGACATTGCATGGCATTACGTGACGTGACATGGCATGACACTACAGGACGTTACATGACATGACATTACCTGCCATTGCATGCCACTGCATGGAAGGACAGGGCATGATTTTGACAAGTAGATGTGTTTGTATATGTACATAGATAGGTAGACAGGTACATACAAACGTAAAAACCTAAGAGTATATTGCACATATCTGGCGCTGAAACATAACTACCCTTAGAAGGAGAACGAGCTCTGGCGCAATGCCGCGGAACTCCTCACTCAGACGTGGCTGCCTCAACTCCATTTGGGCCGTTGCAGCCTGAAGTCAGGTTGCCTGGTTTCGGCTTTGAGGTGTAGGCTTTTGAGGTTCAACTGTCAGGGTTTGGGAGCTTCCATAGAGCTTTGTTTAGGGGGCCTGTGGCTGACGCCAAGTATTTACCAGCCAACCAAAACTGGTTCATTCCAACACATGCAAGCAGATAAACTTGGTCTGCCAATATTTCTGCAAGCACACGACGATGCCAAGACATGTTTGCAGTTTGTGTATGTAGGTTATACCAAGCATACCAGGGGACGACATACGAACGCACTCGTTTCTCGAAAAAGGCTGAACGCTGCCACACAGGCTCCAACCACCTCAGCGACACTGCTAGATCCATCCTAGCCGAGCTCCACGAATCCATGGACAAGACTGAAGGGAGCTGGAGGAGGCCATCAACCGCTTCGCCAAGGAGTTCAAGAAGCTGCCGCAGCCCAACGATCAGAGGGAGCGACGCGTCAAGTGGCATCCGCTCTTCAAGTCAGGAGTGCCGAAGGCTTTGGGTGATGTCTTCTTGAAAGTGATCGATGCAATCACTAGTCTCGGCCTCGAAGCGCAATCCGAATCAACTAGTCACTAGTTGATTCGGATTCTGCTTCGAGGCCGAGCAGCAGGCACCAAGACGGTGAGCAGATCTTCGAACTCATGAAGAACCGAGAAGTTCCTGCCCGTATTCCGAACCACACCCTGATGAGCACCAATGGCCTGCGGCAGCTTCGGGAAGATGTTCTGCAGGTCCATTGCGAGAAGGTCCTCTAGGCGGATACTCCACAGCAGACTGTCGAAAGAGATGGCAGGGGGTCTTGACATGGATGCTTGGTTTACGTGAACGACCTGTCTATGGTGGAGGTCGAGGAGGGATCCAGTTCTCGTGAGGTGATCGGCTCCACCCCCCGAAGCTTGCTGATCCAACTTGGCTTAGATAAAGATCCGGGCAGATCCGACGGAAGCGAGATGGACCAAAGGTCGGCGAGCATCGCAGAGGATGCCCCGACATGGATAAAATCCAGCCTACTGAGCATGATGGGGCCACATATTGCAAACGGCTTGCAGTAGATGTCCTCGTCATGCTCAGTAGGCTGGCAAGCGTTGCCAGATGTGCTTAAATTTCCCTGTACAGTGGGCCGATCACGACTTAGGAAAGAAGCATGGCAAAGCTGTGCGCAGACAGGCACAGGCGAAGGAAGGTTCTTCAGTTTCGCAGAAGATTCCCGTGCCGCCAGAGGGCTTTGGAAAGAGGTCGTATGAAAAGGGCATCGACGAAGACCCGCCGGATGCCATGCAGGCAGACCGGGACAGCATTTCACAGGTGGAGGGATCTGCCCCGTCCGAGCAGCTGGACTTCCACCCAGATCAGCGATTTGCGACCAATCGCAAGACTCCTATTCCTGGCACCAGCAGTGGTATGGCTATGGGTACGGCTGGAAGCCGCAGCTCATGCAGCAGCAAATGATGGCCTGTTGCAACCTGTCCAATGAGGACCGTGTGGGCGTGTCTCCTGGCGAAGCCCTTCGAAAGCTTCAGCCGCCAATCGCAAGCTTCATTAGGCTGCGAACTACCACTGAACGGCAGCAAAGCAAAAAACACATGTACTTCACCCTTGGCAATAGTTTCGGCAAACCCACCAAAAGAAGCCTACCCGAAGCAATGATAGCCTACAGAATCCATATGCACTTAAGCCTCTAGCAAAGCTACGCGGCAAGGATAGAGCCGATGTGGCCTGAGGCAGAGGCGCTCTCTCTTGCTGACAACAGACTAAGTTTAAGAAAGGGTGAGTTTTTTTGTTTCATTTCTTCCGGTCTGAGGGTTGATGTATCCGTTTTTGGTGATGAAGGGTTCTCTACTCCCGGCATCTAAGCTGATAAAGGCACTTGACTGTCTGCTTTACAGAGCAAGAGATGAGGCTTTTGTTGCTTTCGGTTTCTCTTGTACTTGTGCACTTGACGGGGGCTCACGGGCGTCCTCTTTTCTTCACGGGGTTTCTATAGTCTTTTTTTTGGGCTCCGTTAGAGTGTGTTCGTGGGGCTGTCGGGTTTTGACCGGGTTTCTATAGGCTCTTGTCTGAGCCGCAACATCTTCGTAACACCATCCGGCAGAATCAGTGCAGGTAGATGGATTGGGGCGGCTGCGGTTTGAGTTGCGGTCTGGCGACTGGGCTTGGCTAAGGTTGGGTACAAACTATGCTGAAACTCGCCGTGCGGGATCAGGCTAAGGGTTTAGGGGTTTGGGGTCTGGGGTTCCCACAGGTTCGCATGGCATCTGAAGTTTCGGGCTTGCGCGCGTCCGGAGTGCTGGAACTCCGAAGCCCTGACGGGATGAAGGCTCCCTTCAACTCCAAACTGTGCCTAGTCGATCATAGTAGTTCTTTTTTTTTTTGGGATTACCTAATAAGATTCTAAATATGTGAGCCCCCCAAAAAAACTAGTCGGCAGCCGTTCTTGCATATCCTGGCACCCAAGTTCCACGATCTCCTAAAACCCGAAGCGTTGAAGCAGAGACGGCAGAACAGAAAATTTGTAAACATCCTAAACCCCAAAGCCCTAAAGTCCTAAATCCCTTCTAAACTTTAAACCCGAAACCCCAAGCAGTTTTCCTCAGCTGAAGAGGAGCGTGTCATGGCCCTGGTCAGCGCAGAGTTCAAGGCCGAGGAGCGGCTGGGGGCACAGCGAACGTTCCAGATGCTCAGTTTTTTCGGGGAGGGGGGGGGGGGGGGGGGGCAATGCGGGTTTAGTTATTTTTGGCCTTGTTGGGGTTTAGGGTTTGGGTTTTAGATTTTGGCCGGGGTGTTGGGGCTTTCGGGGTTTGAGCCAGCAGGCTGCCGTGGCAGTGTCCAAGGCGCACCGTCGCACCATCAGTCATGACTGTACCCTAAACCCAAAACCTCAACCCTAATCACTTATCATAACTACCATGCAGGGATGTTTGGTGTAGATGCTTCTAGTCGGGCGCAGAATCGGAATGTACATGCCGTGTGGAGACCCCAGTCCCTCCAGCCAGCCCGCTCGCATGGATTTGAGTTTTGTTTCTGGATGTCATGACAGCTCATAGTAAACTGATACACGTCGAGATGAGAGGAGGCACCTAGCGCATGGACGAGTGGAGGTGAGCATGGCACCCCAAACACGCTTTAATTCCTCAATCTCTCCGAGGGAACCCCAATCCCCATCAACCGTGGACCCTATACTCAAATCACCAAGGCGTGAGTCGAAGGTCGGCCAAGTGCGCAAGCGGGTGCTCAAGCAGATGGTCCGGGCAAACACAGGCCTCCGCTCCGAGGACGGCCTGGGACTTGCGGGAATGCGTATACGGATGTAGATGTTTGTTGTGTACGTATGCCAGCATGTATGTAGGGATGGACGGATGCAAGTAAGTAGAGCAGGTATGTACAAGTACATGTAGTTAGTTAGAGTAGTATTGGGTTGTTGTCTTCATTCTGTGATTATTGAGCTGTTTTTGGTCAAGTTGTTTCGATGTGATTTGGGGTGAGCGGTCCAGGAACCGGACCTAGCAGAGGTTGCCTGGAACGTTTCGTAAGGGCAGCGTGCGCGCCTAGTCGCTTTGGGGAGTGCGTCCAAAGGTTCGTGATTGTGGCATCTCGTCGTTGCTTGTTGCGTGTGTTTCAGGGTTCGGTGGGGATGTTTGCAGCATGGGTCCCCTCCTCGACCGTGAACAGAGCTTGAGCATCAACTCGGAATACACCCGTCTTGGTTGTGGTTCCGAATACTGCCCCCCAAAATCATGATTACCATTCTGATGCTCGCCCTTTCTTGTGTTATTCGTTGGCTCCAGTCATTGTTGTGGGCCAAGCTGCTCGGACCTTCAAGAGCGCTGTATCGAAGGATTTTTTGGATCTTGGGCCAAGCGCAGGCCGTAGAGAGCCCTGTAATCCGTTTGCAGCCGTCAACCCTCTAGCTGCAGGAGGAGCTGGACGGTCTGCTGACCATTCTTCAGACCGACGAGCGCCCGGGGCCCTGAAAACCCGCGACCACGGCTGTGTTTTCGGCCGTGTTTCACGTTTAGGCGGCGTTGTAGGGTTTCGCCAGGTCTCCGTTCGCCTTGCAAGGGTTTTGTCGCATTGGTTTGCTTAGCTTTTGCATGAGCTGGAGGGAGGAGCTCTTCTCCGATGATTCAGGCCCTGTCAACCGTCCCTAAAAGCCCCGATGACGCTTCGGTATCCATGCTTCAGCAACATCAACAGTATGTTTAACGATGCAAGTATCAATCGCACGATAAGAAGAATAAGAATAACAACAGCTATAGCAGCAATGCAAACAGTAGCTCATAGGAATAGCCATAATGAAAATAGCAGCTTTCACATCGAATAAAACTAATCGGAGCAATCAACCCTTATCCCCAAACCCCCCCTAAACCCCTAAACCCCCTTAAACCCCCCTAAACCCCCCTAAAGCCCTGCCAGTACACCCAAATCCATAGCTCCAGGGCTCCTGAAGTACCTGGGTCTCCTGGAGCGCTGCTGCTTCGAGGCGGAGAAGATCCAGGTGCCTTTGGGACAACTCGCTTAGAGGGGGGGGGGGGGGGTTGAGGGTTATAGTTTTTTTTAGGTTTTTTAGGTTTCGGGGAGGGTTTTTTTTAGAGGCTCCTCGGGGCTTTAGAGGGTTTGAGACGGCTTTCTGGGAAGGTTTGGGTTGAGGGTTGAGAGCTTCTCTAAGGCGAGGCTGTTGGAGTCAGGGTATGGTCGGATTCTCGCGGCTCTCGCTTGTTTCTGTTGATCGGGCTTTCAAGCATCTTGTTTGCAGAGCTCTCGACACGTTTTTGTAGGGCTCTCTAAGTTTTGTAGTGGAGGCATATACGGTGCTGCGTATGGGGTTTGGGGCTTGGGCTTCAGGCTGCCTGATAGGATTTTAGAGTCCGGGGGACTGTGGGCGTGCGCTTTTGTGAAGTTGTTTGATTCTGTATTTGTTGCTAGCTTGCTTTATGCTAGATTTGTGATGGTACAAGCACATATGTTGCTTTATAGAATCCATCAGAGACCCACTCGTGCCCGCATTCATGTTATGGCTAGTTGGTTTGCTGGTCTTTTGTCCAGTCTAAGGGTCAAGCGACCAGAGACACGGCCCTAGTTGCTGATCTTCCCGACTCGAGCTGACGGAAAGTATAAGACTTTTCCGGCACCCTGCAATATCTAGTACCAATACTGTTATTTGTGTTTTGCATTATAGCAAGTTTGGACCTCAGTACATATTGTTTGCATCATATGATTTGCTTCGTTAGTTTTATCGGGCTGAGGACACATAGGCATGGATACTAGTATTCTGTTCTATTGTATTACTTCCAAATATGTCATAAGTTGCAATCACATATATGTGTATTTGTATATGAACATAATATATATATATATATATATATATATATTATATGAAGAGTATATGTGTACGGATAAATATTTATATGCATATGTCTATATATATACCTACATACAAAGACGGACACACACACACACACATATATATATATATATATATATATATATATATACACATGTATGTGTGAAATTGTGCAGGGTAGAGAGCTCGGCATGTTCATATATATATATGCATATATATATATATGTATTTGTATTTATATGTAAATATATTTGCATACATGTACACTTTGTATATACAGTGCCTTACATTGGTTGACAAATCCTGACCTTTCAATGCACATACATAGATGTATACACATATGTGTGCGCGGAGCATGCTTGTAGATGTAGTACAGACTTCGTGATCTGTAAATACTAATTTGTTTGCTCATCTTCGTGTTATTAATACTAACCATGCCCTTTGCATTGCTCTTGTCGGTACGTGTTTAAGATGGTAGCCCAGCATTCAACCCAAATACAGACAGTAATAGCACTAGATACACGATACTTTTCAATCCACACCAAGCCGATGTTCTATAGGTTACCAGCAACAAGTCTATTGTAAGGTGGCACATACATGTACTTGTTATACTTTAGCTATGGTCATGTTCAGAAGAGTAATCGAAATATAGAAGGCATGTTACATGTGGACAGGCTGAACATGTAAATCAATGTACAAATCCTATAGCAGAAAATGTAAATGTGAATGATCCTACAAACATAATGCGCTTTTTGAAGCTTAGGTTTGTTGGCCAGCGTGTTGTATAGATGTGCACCGGTGTTCCAAGTGATCGACTTCATGTAGACACTTATACACAACAAGATAAGACATGTTCAAGGATCTTAAGATCGACAATACCAAACCAGTGTTGTAACAACGGGTATGAAGTTAAAGATGAAACTTCTAGTGGTATCCAATTGCAGTACCTGAAACTGGTAAATAGGTTGCCTATACAGTAACGTGGTGATAAGCAAATCAGTAACTGTGCCAACAAATGAAGTAAGCCTGATTAGCTGATTATGCCTTCAATTTTACTTACGAAGTAAAAGAACGTTTAGCATACGACAGTACTTGTATTTTATGTATACATCCGCACAGTTTACACATACATCTCAAAAATAGGTACTCATACACATTCACGTATGTGCACCTATACACATATATATATATATGCATACAGACATATTTCACACGCACATGTATCTGTGCACATCCAAGTTTTCTAGTATGCTGTGAAGGGCCTATGTGAGATTGAAATAAGATTAAGTAACTGTAGTAATTTACGACAATATGATCACCAGTACTATACACTTCATCTGGGGTTTTCCTGCAAAAAACACAAAAATATCGGCGAATCAATATCGACCTGCATATTTCAGAGATATTTAATAGTCACCGTATTAACAGTAAAAATGGTAGTTACTGTAAAACAAACGGAGCTCAACAAATAATTGGTCGCTGTCTCCCGCAGACGCTACTAAGCCTAATTACAAGAGTGACAATGTAACAGCTTTATACTATAGACCAACTGCAGTACTCACACGTATACATGTGCATTGTCTACGAGCCTTGCCGTGAGAGTGCATTGCCCCCCAATGTGTGCCACTGACCCTGGGCGCGCGCGAATTTTGATTTTTTTGGGTTGGCAGCCACTTCCAACAAAAGAACCCAAAAAAAACAAAGAACCAAAAAAACAAAAAAAACCAAAAGAACCAAAAAAACCAAAAATCCGACACTCTCCGGCCATGGAAATTTCAGTCCAGGAGTCTCTGGCAATTGTTTTTGTTGTTTTTTTTGGTTCTTTTGTTTTTTTTGGTTTTTTGGGTTCTTTTGGTTTTTTAGATTTTTTGGTTTTTAGGTCTTTTTGGGTTCTTTTGAGGTGTCATCTGCAGCAAAACTCCGTTATTGCAGGGAGCGTACCTCTCTCATTAAGTATTGCGTAAATGATGCTGAAGCTAGCGCTAAAACTCCTGGAAAAGTGCACGCCCAGGGTCCCCCGTTTTGGGATTTTATGGGATTTGGGCTTGGGGTTTAGGGTTTGGGCATTGCACCAAGGGTGCACAGGTTTACGAGTAAGTGAATTCGGCTTAAAGATCCCTGTAAGGCCTGAGCCCTATGCCTTACTGCCCCGGATCATTGCATGCTGAATGGAATCCTAAATCCTTCCTGAATGCTAACCCGGAGCTCAGCCATCTAATGTAATCCCGCCCTGACTCGGAACGATGGCGATGAGTACTTTGATTTTTCAACACCAGGACCATGGCATGGTAAGCACATTGCGGAGTGTACTTCCGACGTGGTACTCGGGTCGGGATCTGCATGTTTCGTTCTCGCGTGGGGTGGTTTATCTAAAGGATTTGGTTGAGGCTTTACGGTATGTGAACCGTCATCTGAGCGAAGAGTGTTCCACGCTTTTCTGGGCTTGTTTTGTGGCGGAGCTACTAGGAGGTCATGGAGAACCACAGAGAGCGAACGCATGAAGCAAGAACGTAGCCAGCCGCTCTGAGCCCCCACCAAAATTCATGGTCTGGGACCGTCGATCCTCAGAAGAGGTTGCAGAATCAATAGCTTTACATAAGATCTTCCAAAAGAGGCTTCGGTTTACCGGTTCTCCTGGGCTTGTTGATGTTGTTCTCGTCCCCATCCGCATCCGCATCCTTTGATCATGGTCATCACCATCATCGTCGTCATCACCGTAATTGTCGCCGCCATCAGATGATATCCAACATCAACACCATCAGTGCCGTCAGTACTACCAACATCACCATCACCACCGCCGCCGCCGCCACCACCACCGCCACCACCACCACCGGTTCACAATGCTCTTCCCACCGACCTCACCCGGCCTTTAAGGTAATAGGACATCCAACGATCCAAGATCAAGAAGCGTCGTACGTCAGGCACGCATGGACAAACGCCAGGAGAAGGCAAGGCGGCTTTCAAGAAGCTTTTCGGGATTGTAAAAGGAGCATTGGGTTGCCTTTGGCATGGGAAGTTCTTTCCTCAACCTTTAGCACGAAGTTCACGGCTTGGGCTCCGGAGGCTAAAGGGCGGGCTTGCCCCGTGCATGCAACAAACATTTTCCAAACCACGGTCCCGCCGCCTGCCTGTGTCAGCCAGTGTTGACACAGTGACTTAGTGAAAATTGAGCATGTGTGGGTCCGGGTGCGGTATTGCATGGCTCGCCTGCAGAAGCGCTTGTTGGTTGTGCTTTGGTTGTCTCGCATCGACCGGCCGTAAAGATTCGGCTAATTGGTCGTTCGCAGCGTAGACATGTGGTACTGTTGAAGTTTCAAGTGCTTTTGCGCACAAAGCTTCGGATATGTCTGTGTGTGTGTGTGAGCATACGTATAAGAATTGTACAAGTACAGATGCAGGTATGAATGTAGACCAGTTGATACGACTATATGTTTGGGTATATGCATCTGCGAATGAATTCCTGTATGTACATAAATCACGTGATATTTGGCGTGCGTGCGTGTACACATCTACTTGTACATGTGTATATATGCGTGCATCTACAGACAATGTGTGTGTGTGTGTGCGTATGCTTCCCTCCTCACAGATCTATGCTTCCGTCAAGCCTAAACGCCCCGAAAGCCCAGGCCCTGAGCGCCTAAGACCGTAAAACCCCCAACCCGCGACCCTGCGGTCATATTCCCGTGACGGCCTCAAGTCTCCCTAAAGCCGCACTGTGGCCCTTACTAGAGCCTTTCTCAAGCCCTGCACCAAACTTGCAACGCCAGCCCCTGCCGCACCCCTGCAAACCTTGGCCCGCTTCCTTCGCCAGTTCCGCTCCGCCAAGCTGGGCAGCTACGCCCAGGAACGAGCGGAAGAGGCCCCTCCTTCTGTGGTGTTTTGGAAGAGGGCCTTGAACATTTGGTGATTCTCCCCAAATTTTCCATTTTACACGCTTCCAGCGGTGCAGAGGGTTTCCGGGGCTGCGAGCTTCTCGAGTAGAAGGAGGGTTTTCTGAATTTGCATAGGGTTGTAATTTTCGAATGTGAGGGCCTCTCATAGCTCTGATGGGTTTTCACCGGCATTGCGTGGGGTCGTGTTTTCTTCATACTGTATTTCATCGGAAGTTTCTGCAATGCGGCTGAGCCCGAACACTGGAGCCTGAACTTCGGGTCTCGGGTGTTGGGGTGAAGGTTGGGTTTAGAATTTCGGGCATGGAGTTTAACTTTTCAGGTTGTAGGTGTTGTAAGTTTAGGGTTTCAGTCAAACGCCTTGAGATTGAGGGTTCGTGGAGGGAGAGAACTATGGGTTCAGGCTTGCCCGGGCTTCCAAAGCCAGTCTTGAGCCTGATCACGTCGGGAACTTCAACCCCTCAACCTCCGCACCCTGAATTCCGGCCACGAAGCTCTCAGTCTCACACATCCTGCACTTGGACCTGGGTGCCCCAAACGAAGTGCGATTTGGAACACGAGGACGGCTCATTGGTGATCATTCGTGGGCACTGAATGCTATTCCAGTACCTTAAACTCCGGAGCTCAGCCCTCAGCCGGTGCATTCCTACGGGTCCAAACGGCCCAAGATTTAGGTACCCGCGTTCAGGATTGTTTTAATGTAGGTTGATTTGGGGAGTAGATGATTTATCAAAATACTTGGATGCTCTTTGGTTCTTCAGTAGGCTTAACACCACAACAAACGCCCGAAACCCCAATTCCAACAGCTTAGACAGACTAGACACTCTCTCAACTTTAAGCGTAGCCCGAAACCCTAGACCAGCGGCCCGCCCTTGACCTCCAACCTTAAACCCGAAACCCCAACAAACGCCCCGAAACCCCCCGCTCCCCCCCAAAAGATGCCAAAAGCTCGACCCCTCCCCTCCCCCTCCGCCCCCAAACCCTAAACCCTAAACCCCGCAACCCAAAAAGATAGAGCCTAAAGGCGGTCGTCGACGTCTTCTCATCGGCCAAAGGGCTCGAGCTGCGCATCCAGGCGTGCTGCAGCGTGGAGACCCAGCTTTGGGGTCTGTGGGTTGGGCTTAGGGTTGAGTTGAGGGTTGTTGAGGGCTGGGGTTTCATTGTTTCTGTAGAGATTCGACGAGGAGCTGTTCTGTATGAGGGCCCTGTGAGGGTGCTTTGAGGATTATATGAGAGAGTTCTTTGAGGGTTCTACAAGGGTTCGAAGAAGGCTCGTGAAGGGTTGTGCAGGGTTCTTTGGGGCTCTTTGCGGGTTCTGTGAGGGTTTAGGGCTTTAGGAGCGGGCCTTATTCCTGGAACTAACCGTATACAGAGTTGGTAGCAGAATATGTGCCTCAAGAAGCACCAGAATCGCACGATGTGCTTCCTCGGCAACTGATGGTTGCTGATGTCCTGTGCCGCTCGGAAGGACCAGAAGAGCACTAAGCCCTAAAGCCTTTAAGCTTTCAGTTTCCGCAGAAAACTTCACTCTCCCAATACAGCCGGAAAAGTGTGGAGCAGATGACAGCTTATGTCTGTACCAAAGCCATTTCCAAGTCCAGCACATAAATTCGAGGAGATGAGTCAGGGTTTGTCGCGTTTCGGGTTTGTTTTCTTTTTGACTCCACTTGTGATTTTGATTCCCCTTGCCGAGTTTGCATCGCCGCACCAGTTGTGCGAAGAAATTCCCAGGGGAGTGTACCAGTGAATGTGAAATGCTGAACCCCGACCTGTGAACGGGAAATCTTGAAACCGTAGACGTCAGACCCCAAAACCCGTAAAGCCCCCGTCAAACCCCTATAGAACCCTTGTAGAAACCAAAAAAAGCCCAGCTAAAACTGATACTTGAGCTTTCTAAAACCCCATGCCGAGATGCGGCAGAAGAGCTGCCCGAGACATATGTGTGCGCCCTACGCTAGGGATGGAGGGCGGTTCAGGGTTCAAGGGTTTAAGGGCTTAGGGTTCAGGGTTGATTCAGCTCGGCGGCTACACAATGGCACAGCCAGGAGAAATTGAAAAGGAGTTTTGGAAGATAAGGGGATCCTAGTGTAGATGCAAAAATAGCACGATGCTTGATAGAAGGACGCTCCAAGCAGCATCAATTCAGAAAGAGCAGCCTAGATTCAGAAAGCTCAGATCCTCAGATAGCGTCTCAGGGGTTTAGGGTTGATGGTGCTTGGGTCCGTGTAGCATGTTGCAGGATCTGGGTTCAGGAGTTGCCAACACCTGTGAGCGCATGTAGCAAATATTCTGTGGACACATGAAAGTCGTTTCTTACCCCAAGAGTTTTTTGAGTTTCTGGCGATTTTCGTGGGTGCCTCCGGGAGCCTCAAGTCGAATTTTGCGAAAGGTCTTAAACAGATATGTCAGATCTCAACGGCTGTGATGAACAGAGGTCATGAGTCATGTGTGCTTCTTCCACTTCCACTTGCTATTCGTTGAACTTACTCGGTATACTCAAAACTCTGAAACTCGGACAAAGCCAATTGTGACATATCCTTAAACTGACCTGAAACGCTGTGAGCCGTAAATCCACAAACCCCAAGCCGTATCCGTATCCCCCTAGTCACGAAAAGCTTACAAGAGGCCTGAAGGCTGTCGGGGTGGTACTGTAGTCGTTCCGCGATGTTTTGGGCATGGTTGGGGGATTTCTGCGGGAACTCGTTTTTTTCGGCGGGAGCGGTTTAGGGTTTGGATTTGGGGTTTAGGTTTGGGTTCACCAGGGTATGAGCTTTCAGAGACCTCGGTTGCGAGGGTCTCCTGAGAGATCAGATTGTCCGGGCAAAGTTGAAGATCGCAGCGGTGCTGTTGCTACGCTTTGCCTTTTCCTAACACCTGGAGACAGTACGAAGTGCACGGAAACCCTAAACCCTTAACCCGAACCTGCTGAGGATTCCATGAACGAGATCGGGGATTTCTTCAACAGCTTGAATCCCTTTCGCTAGGAGCGCTTGCCTGGGATTTCGGCTGTTGATTTGGGCAGTCCGCGACCGAAGAGTTCAGGTAGAATCCGGGCCTGGAGCGTTAGAGTACGTACTTAGGAAGTTTGGGGGGGTGATTCTACTCTAAGTGTAGGAAGCAACCCGACGGAATGGCATTGCTAACGACTGTATTCAGACGCCCATGGTAGAGGCGTGCAGAGTCGCGACGATGCATGCGGCTGGAGGGGACCGGGATTTTGAGGTGGTGAAGTGCCTGGCCCCTGTTCAGACCTGAAACATTCCCCGGAGCTCCTCAACAAGTGAGGCATAGTTTCAACCCGGAAGCTTACGTCGACCCAAAACCTGTATAAACCATCGTGCATGCGAAGCAATCCGAATCCCAGAGCGGCAAAGCCCGCAAGCTTTGAAACTAGGTGAATGATTGCGTTATCTCGGAGCACGCACTTGTCACTCCAAATAGGATCCAGGGTTACGGGTTCAGTTTCGAAGTCCTGAACCGTTGTGCAGACGCTGACAGGCAGTGCCTGTTTATCTCGTTGCCTTCACGAAGTCCAGATTGCAAGGGAACCTGTATGGAAATAGGTAGCCAAAAAGGCGTAGACTTTATGTACTGAAACCCCCTGATCGCAGGGCTCGACCCTGATTTGGCAGGAGAGCTCCATGAATCCACCGCACAGTCGTAGCTTAGGGCACAGTGATTAGATCGTTCACGTGTGATTTTTCGTGAATCTTCGAGGGGAGCTTGGTGCACCATTGCCACTGGAAAGACATCAGCAGAGCATGAGCCCCACGGCTGCCCTGAAGTCTGTCAGTTTGGGACTGGAGGTCTGGGGGTGACGCCCAAAGTCCCTGTCCTAGGCCAGATCCTGAAGCCATGAATCTGAGACCTTACAGCTCGAACCTTAGATGGTAGACGTTACCATTACTTCCCCGAAACGCTTGAAAACAGAGGAAAACACCAGGCGCCAGGCGCGCATGGCCACTACTACTACTGCTACTACTGCTACTACTACTACTGCTGCTACTACTGCTACTGCTACTGCTACTGCTACTACTGCTACTACTGCTACTACTGCTACTACTGCTACTACTGCTACTACTGTTACTACTGCTACTACTGCTACTACTGCTACTACTGCTACTACTGCTACTACTGCTACTACTGCTACTACTGCTACTACTGCTACTACTGCTACTACTACTGCTGCTACTACTGCTACTACTGCTACCACTACCACTAGCTACTACTACACTACCACTACCACTACCACTACCACTACCACTACCACTACCACTACCACTACCACTACCACTACCACTACCACTACCACTACCACTACCACTACCACTACCACTACCACTACCACTACCACTACCACTACCACTACCACTACCACTACCACTACCACTACCACTACCACTACCACTACCACACTACCACACTACCACTACTACTACTACCACTACCACTACCACTACCACTACCACTACCACTACCACTACCACTACCACTACCACTACCACTACCACTACCACTACCACTACCACTACCACTACCACTACCACTACCACTACCACTACCACTACCACTACCACTACCACTACCACTACCACTACCACTACCACTACTCCTACTACTCCTACTCCTACTCCTACTCCTACTCCTACTCCTACTCCTACTCCTCCTACTACTACTACTACTACTACTACCACCACCGTTTACTGAGCAAGCGGATTCGTTTCGCAGTCTGGGACTCCCTAGACAGCCCAAGTTGTAATCATTATTCGGAGGAATGGCTGTTGAGGTTCGGTGATGGGCCGGTGTGCCATTTCCCCTCCCACGTCAGACCCATCATGCTCGCCGCCTGCGGCGGAAAAGATGTGCAATGGAGTGTACCCCAGTGCCTAAGCTCTAAAGCCTCAGATCGGGGAATCTCATTCGATCCAAAGGCCCTGACTCCGAACAGCCACCTGATTCTAGCTAGTGATAGTGATAAGTCGTGATCTCTGTGATTCTTGTGACGGCGAAGGTGGTGGCTCTTGCGGCAACCCTCTGTCCCAAACTCTGCAGTATGCCCTGAAGCCTTGCCCCGACCTGCCCCTAGAGTTGTTTGGATTTCCGAGCTTCCTTCAGAGACCGTTGCCAGCCCGCACATCTGAGAGATCTCTTTGAGCGAAGGCCTCGGAGATGTAGGGATGCCGGATGCAGACGAGTCGAGTTGCTTTGGTCTGCCAGCAGCTCTCGGAAATCTCACGAAGCACCTCTGCCCCCAAGTATCGACTTCCTATTTGTCAGAGATAGGTCCAAGCTTCGGGACAGGCTGTTCCTTGAAAGAGGTCCATGCTACGGTTTTGGGCTCAAGCTCGGAGAAGAGGCACCCAGAAGATACTGAGGTCACCGAAGCCACTGTTCCCGTGCAATGGCGCAGAAGCTCGGATTGTTGCTTGCGTTGCAGGTGCTGACCGCCTCGGCTGCTGTGACGTCCTACACGTTCGGACAGGATATCGACTACCCACCCTATGCTTCCAAGAACGCGACAAGCGGTGAGCTGACGGGATTCGCCGTGGAGTTGGTGAAGGCAATGAACGCTCATTGCTCAGCTACTTTGAACATTACCGTCGTGGAGACCCGGTGGTCCGACTGCTGGTCTTCGGCCGGAGGAGGCAGTCTCGGAGCTTTGCTGGACAACGGCACCCTGGATGCCTGCATGACCTACACGCACACGCAGGGGATTCGCAACGACTTCGCGGACTTCTCTATTGGCATCCTGGATGTGAACAAGGCAGCTGGCCTCTTAACCTTGCTGGAAAACGGCATGCCCAAAGTGGATGGCCACTCGGACCTCAACGGCAAGACCGTCGTGGATGTCGGTGGCTGGGTGCTTCCCTCAGACAAGAGCAATGTACGGCAAAGTGCACTGCCCTTGCTTTCTCAGTTTGCATAGGCATGACCATGATTTTAGTCAATCGGAAGCTTATGCACGGTTCCGAGACAAGCTGAAGCGATAGCAGGTATGACTTAGAGGCCCCTGAGGCAGGAAGCAAACCCGCGTGATCAGACACGGGTCTGAGGCCCCTACGGCAGATGGCTTGGACTTCGTGACGAACAAGTGCTTAGACCAGAAGTACTCGAGCAACTACACATTGGTTGTGGGTGATGGCAACGACGCAGCAATGACGATGCTGCGTAACGGCGCAGCCGACGCCATGTTCGTGTATGCTGACCAAGCCAAGAACTACCAGTGTGATGGAACCATGGTTGCGGCATGGAATTGCACGCTGTGGCAAGGCTTCGGCACGGAGTATGCCTACGTCCAGACAGGGCAGTTCGGCTACGTCGTCAATGGCACGACCCTGGCGCTGTCCAAGAAGGGGACTGGAGTGCCGGAAGCGATCAACTCCTGTTTGGCAGAAGTCATGGCAACAGAAGCATACTACAACGCTTGTGTGAAGTACGACTTGGTAGATTCCTGCTACGTCAACAGCTTCTTCCCCAGCTCAGGGATCGTAATCCACGAGTACAACAAGGAGACCGACGAGCATTCGGGCGACTGCTCCAGTGGTTATTGCCCGTGCCCTGCGACTACAACTCCGACTTCAACTTCGCTTGCGCAGGGCTTCAGCATCAAAGCGTTGATGGGTGCCACACTCTCCTTTTTTGTTGCTCTGCTCCTGTAGCCTGAATACAGGCGAGAAGCCAGGAACAGCATCGACTTGGACTTGGTGTTGTGAGGTGGTCCGAGCCGGGGTCAAATTGCCACAGGCAGGAGCCAAGTCCAAAGGACTTCAGAGCTCTCTGTCCTGCCAGACCACCGCATCAACCGGCACAACGACTTCTTTGCTGAAACGTTTTCAACCGATGCAAGGATCCTAATTTGCTGAAAGGTTTCAAGAAGGGGCTACAGCCCCTAACGCGCATGTTTGCGTGTGCCAAAAGGTTACTGCAGGGTCCATGATGAGCATCTGTGTGTCCAGCCAGACAACCAGAGCTGGTGATGCCTTTCGGGAGACCCTGCTGCAGAAGCAGTATTTAGGCTGCAGACTCCGAGCCGCTTTTCTCAAACGTCTCCAGATTGCAAAGAAAACTTGTTCACACATTCTGCTAGTATATTAGTAGCAATGTTACATACTGAACTCTGGATGCTTTAAACACGCCTTTCACCCGATCGTCGACTTCCTGTTCCCTGAGAGACCTGGCTGAAGAAGGTCCATGCTACGGTTTTGGGCTCAAGCTCGGAGAAGAGGCACCCAGAAGATCCTGAGGTCACCGAAGCCACTGTTCCCGTGCAATGGCGCAGAAGCTCGGATTGTTGCTTGCGTTGCAGGTGCTGACCGCCTCGGCTGCTGTGACGTCCTACACGTTCGGACAGGATATCGACTACCCACCCTATGCTTCCAAGAACGCGACAAGCGGTGAGCTGACGGGATTCGCCGTGGAGTTGGTGAAGGCAATGAACGCTCATTGCTCAGCTACTTTGAACATTACCGTCGTGGAGACCCGGTGGTCCGACTGCTGGTCTTCGGCCGGAGGAGGCAGTCTCGGAGCTTTGCTGGACAACGGCACCCTGGATGCCTGCATGACCTACACGCACACGCAGGGGATTCGCAACGACTTCGCGGACTTCTCTATTGGCATCCTGGATGTGAACAAGGCAGCTGGCCTCTTAACCTTGCTGGAAAACGGCATGCCCAAAGTGGATGGCCACTCGGACCTCAACGGCAAGACCGTCGTGGATGTCGGTGGCTGGGTGCTTCCCTCAGACAAGAGCAATGTACGGCAAAGTGCACTGCCCTTGCTTTCTCAGTTTGCATAGGCATGACCATGATTTTAGTCAATCGGAAGCTTATGCACGGTTCCGAGACAAGCTGAAGCGATAGCGTCCCAGCCCCTTGCAGGTATGACTTAGAGGCCCCTGAGGCAGGAAGCAAACCCGCGTGATCAGACACGGGTCTGAGGCCCCTACGGCAGATGGCTTGGACTTCGTGACGAACAAGTGCTTAGACCAGAAGTACTCGAGCAACTACACATTGGTTGTGGGTGATGGCAACGACGCAGCAATGACGATGCTGCGTAACGGCGCAGCCGACGCCATGTTCGTGTATGCTGACCAAGCCAAGAACTACCAGTGTGATGGAACCATGGTTGCGGCATGGAATTGCACGCTGTGGCAAGGCTTCGGCACGGAGTATGCCTACGTCCAGACAGGGCAGTTCGGCTACGTCGTCAATGGCACGACCCTGGCGCTGTCCAAGAAGGGGACTGGAGTGCCGGAAGCGATCAACTCCTGTTTGGCAGAAGTCATGGCAACAGAAGCATACTACAACGCTTGTGTGAAGTACGACTTGGTAGATTCCTGCTACGTCAACAGCTTCTTCCCCAGCTCAGGGATCGTAATCCACGAGTACAACAAGGAGACCGACGAGCATTCGGGCGACTGCTCCAGTGGTTATTGCCCGTGCCCTGCGACTACAACTCCGACTTCAACTTCGCTTGCGCAGGGCTTCAGCATCAAAGCGTTGATGGGTGCCACACTCTCCTTTTTTGTTGCTCTGCTCCTGTAGCCTGAATACAGGCGAGAAGCCAGGAACAGCATCGACTTGGACTTGGTGTTGTGAGGTGGTCCGAGCCGGGGTCAAATTGCCACAGGCAGGAGCCAAGTCCAAAGGACTTCAGAGCTCTCTGTCCTGCCAGACCACCGCATCAACCGGCACAACGACTTCTTTGCTGAAACGTTTTCAACCGATGCAAGGATCCTAATTTGCTGAAAGGTTTCAAGAAGGGGCTACAGCCCCTAACGCGCATGTTTGCGTGTGCCAAAAGGTTACTGCAGGGTCCATGATGAGCATCTGTGTGTCCAGCCAGACAACCAGAGCTGGTGATGCCTTTCGGGAGACCCTGCTGCAGAAGCAGTATTTAGGCTGCAGACTCTGAGCCGCTTTTCTCAAACGTCTCCAGATTGCAAAGAAAACTTGTTCACACATTCTGCTAGTATATTAGGAGCTACCGTAAATGTTACATACTGAACTCTGGATCCTTTACGCACGCCTTTCACCCGATCGTCGACTTCCTGTTCCCTGAGAAACCTGGCTGAAAAAGGTCCATGCTACGGTTTTGGGCTCAAGCTCGGAGAACAGGCACCCAGAAGATCCTGAGGTCACCGAAGCCACTGTTCCCGTGCAATGGCGCAGAAGCTCGGATTGTTGCTTGCGTTGCAGGTGCTGACCGCCTCGGCTGCTGTGACGTCCTACACGTTCGGACAGGATATCGACTACCCACCCTATGCTTCCAAGAACGCGACAAGCGGTGAGCTGACGGGATTCGCCGTGGAGTTGGTGAAGGCAATGAACGCTCATTGCTCAGCTACTTTGAACATTACCGTCGTGGAGACCCGGTGGTCCGACTGCTGGTCTTCGGCCGGAGGAGGCAGTCTCGGAGCTTTGCTGGACAACGGCACCCTGGATGCCTGCATGACCTACACGCACACGCAGGGGATTCGCAACGACTTCGCGGACTTCTCTATTGGCATCCTGGATGTGAACAAGGCAGCTGGCCTCTTAACCTTGCTGGAAAACGGCATGCCCAAAGTGGATGGCCACTCGGACCTCAACGGCAAGACCGTCGTGGATGTCGGTGGCTGGGTGCTTCCCTCAGACAAGAGCAATGTACGGCAAAGTGCACTGCCCTTGCTTTCTCAGTTTGCATAGGCATGACCATGATTTTAGTCAATCGGAAGCTTATGCACGGTTCCGAGACAAGCTGAAGCGATAGCGTCCCAGCCCCTTGCAGGTATGACTTAGAGGCCCCTGAGGCAGGAAGCAAACCCGCGTGATCAGACACGGGTCTGAGGCCCCTACGGCAGATGGCTTGGACTTCGTGACGAACAAGTGCTTAGACCAGAAGTACTCGAGCAACTACACATTGGTTGTGGGTGATGGCAACGACGCAGCAATGACGATGCTGCGTAACGGCGCAGCCGACGCCATGTTCGTGTATGCTGACCAAGCCAAGAACTACCAGTGTGATGGAACCATGGTTGCGGCATGGAATTGCACGCTGTGGCAAGGCTTCGGCACGGAGTATGCCTACGTCCAGACAGGGCAGTTCGGCTACGTCGTCAATGGCACGACCCTGGCGCTGTCCAAGAAGGGGACTGGAGTGCCGGAAGCGATCAACTCCTGTTTGGCAGAAGTCATGGCAACAGAAGCATACTACAACGCTTGTGTGAAGTACGACTTGGTAGATTCCTGCTACGTCAACAGCTTCTTCCCCAGCTCAGGGATCGTAATCCACGAGTACAACAAGGAGACCGACGAGCATTCGGGCGACTGCTCCAGTGGTTATTGCCCGTGCCCTGCGACTACAACTCCGACTTCAACTTCGCTTGCGCAGGGCTTCAGCATCAAAGCGTTGATGGGTGCCACACTCTCCTTTTTTGTTGCTCTGCTCCTGTAGCCTGAATACAGGCGAGAAGCCAGGAACAGCATCGACTTGGACTTGGTGTTGTGAGGTGGTCCGAGCCGGGGTCAAATTGCCACAGGCAGGAGCCAAGTCCAAAGGACTTCAGAGCTCTCTGTCCAGACCACCGCATCAACCGGCACAACGACTTCTTTGCTGAAACGTTTTCAACGATGCAAGGATCCTAATTTGCTGAAAGGTTTCAAGAAGGGGCTACAGCCCCTAACGCGCATGTTTGCGTGATTTTGTGTGTGCCAAAAGGTTACTGTAGGGTCCGTGATGAGCATCTGTGTGTCCAGCCAGATCCCCTACGCCCTAAACCCTAAGCCGCCCAGGAAGTACATCCCGGCGAGTCTGCTTCCCATCGTGAACCGCATCGCCGAGAGCCTGCCAAATCGGCGCACTTTGGCCCCAAACGTGCGGGCTGTCTTTGCGATCAGCTCCTGTCTCAAATTGCAATGGGCAATGTTAAGCCCTAGCCTTTGAAACCCTAAATTACTAAACCCCAGAAGCACCGTCCTAAGCCATGCGAGGAACGCGACGGGGCCCTGTCCGAGCTAACAGCGAGGGCCAGGTCGTTGCCACTCGGCAGGATGAACCAAGTAGGCTTGAGGGTGTTCAGGGTTTCGGGGTTCAGAGCAGGGCGCCTTTTAAACATACCATTTTGACTAGGCTGAGAGTTGAGTTGCCGGGGTACGAACTTGACAGAATAGTGCCTGAACTTCCTACAGCCCAAACCCTTCAAACCCTGCATCCCAAACCCTAGAGCCCTCTATCATGAAAGCTCAGTTCCTGAATCTGCACGCTCCTACAATCCTCCACCCTGCAGCACCTAAATCCAAACACACTGCAGCAGGTTTAGAGTTTAGGGTCTGGCTTCAAGTCCCAAACGGCGATGCTAGACTTTGAAGTGGCGGCGGATTTACCCACTTTGGTGTTCAGTGTGCAGGGTTGGTCCAACTACGAGTCTCCCTTGAGAGGCATCAACGGGTTGGCTTCGGAGGGTTGCAAGGAGCTGTGATGCAGTCTGAGAGGGGTTTGCCAGTCTACCCTCCAGTACAACCCTAAGACTTAAGGCGCTCTGATAGAGTACCTGGGAGGTCCTGGCAACCCTATAGGCTCAGACTTTAAACTCTGATAGCCCTCTGAATCAGAAATGCCCGAAAGGTCCCAAGGAGCCCCGGAACCTTATAAAGGTCTAAACTCCTTGTTTTCCTAGGTTCGGCCTTGGTAGCTAATGGACCAAACGCTGGAGATGCGGTTTGGCGAGGCGCGCCCCGCGATTTCGGCATCTGGAATTTAGGGTTGAGGGCTCAGGGTTTGCCGGGTTTAGGATGCTGAAATCTCGTGCTTAGGGGTTCAGGGGTTTGGGCTTTGGGGTGCTCATATGTTTGTTTGTGGTTTCGGGTTTCGGGTGTTGCTGACATACAAGGGTTGCATGCTTCACGGTTTTCGGGGAGGTTCTGGATTTCAGGGCTGAAGGCATCAACTTCTCAAGTGACTCAAGTTGTTGCTTCGGGCTTTGCAGTTCGGTCGAAGTTCGGCATTCCGGCCGTTCAGATTTGCTGACATCTTGGGGAGCCTTTGGGAGCTTTGGAAAAGCCAGCAGCCTTGTAAACGCCCATAGTAGCTTCAAGCTACAGAAGCCCTTGCAGCCGCAGGCCAAGCCCTGTGCCTTAGCCGCATGCTGCTACGTGAATATGGAGCTCCTGCCTACCTGCAGAAAGCAAATCTCAACCAGACCAACTGATTGCAACCCTACGGCAGGCTTGTAAAGAAGCTTGCATTTACCGCCCTATGAATCACCAGTTGGGCCGCATACCAACTCTATAGTAACACTATCCCTATACTCGACCCTAAACCCTAAAACCCTGAAGCCCTTAATCCTAAACCCAGCTACTCTCTTGCCAGGCCGGAGCTTGGATTGGGACCTCGATGCATCCCTGCTTGAGCGATCCGGCAGCAGGAAGTCAGGGCTCAACAATTGGCAGCTTTTTCTCCTGGTTCCAGGATTCAGAATTTGAGGTTGAGGGTGTAAAAATTATAGGGTTTAGGGTTTGGGGTCTAGGATTTAGGGTTTAGGATTTGAGGCTCAGGGTTTGAGGTCTCAGGGTGTAGGATTTTAAGCTACGTGTTCCTCGGCGCTATGGGGAGGGTTTAGACCTTGATGGGTCTCAACACTGAGTGTCATGATTTGTTTTTGGGGGGTTGGTTTGGTTTAGAGCATGCTCATGGGGCCTGGGATTCAGGGAAGGATGCTTCGGTTCAGGGTTTAGACCTTCCAGGTACGTTGTGGCGGTGGACTACCAGCGCGGTGGCAAGACGGCCTTCACACAACCAGAGTTGGCAATGCCTTCGGGAGACTTTGCTGCAGAAAGAGGAGGCTGCAGACCTTACATACTGAACTCTGGATCCTTTAAGTACGCCTTTCACCCGATTGTCGACTTCCTGTTCCCTGAGAGACCTGGCTGAAGAAGGTCCATGCTACGGTTTTGGGCTCAAGCTCGGAGAAGAGGCACCAAGAAGATCCTGAGGTCACCGAAGCCACTGTTCCCGTGCAATGGCGCAGAAGCTCGGATTGTTGCTTGCGTTGCAGGTGCTGACCGCCTCGGCTGCTGTGACGTCCTACACGTTCGGACAGGATATCGACTACCCACCCTATGCTTCCAAGAACGCGACAAGCGGTGAGCTGACGGGATTCGCCGTGGAGTTGGTGAAGGCAATGAACGCTCATTGCTCAGCTACTTTGAACATTACCGTCGTGGAGACCCGGTGGTCCGACTGCTGGTCTTCGGCCGGAGGAGGCAGTCTCGGAGCTTTGCTGGACAACGGCACCCTGGATGCCTGCATGACCTACACGCACACGCAGGGGATTCGCAACGACTTCGCGGACTTCTCTATTGGCATCCTGGATGTGAACAAGGCAGCTGGCCTCTTAACCTTGCTGGAAAACGGCATGCCCAAAGTGGATGGCCACTCGGACCTCAACGGCAAGACCGTCGTGGATGTCGGTGGCTGGGTGCTTCCCTCAGACAAGAGCAATGTACGGCAAAGTGCACTGCCCTTGCTTTCTCAGTTTGCATAGGCATGACCATGATTTTAGTCAATCGGAAGCTTATGCACGGTTCCGAGACAAGCTGAAGCGATAGCGTCCCAGCCCCTTGCAGGTATGACTTAGAGGCCCCTGAGGCAGGAAGCAAACCCGCGTGATCAGACACGGGTCTGAGGCCCCTACGGCAGATGGCTTGGACTTCGTGACGAACAAGTGCTTAGACCAGAAGTACTCGAGCAACTACACATTGGTTGTGGGTGATGGCAACGACGCAGCAATGACGATGCTGCGTAACGGCGCAGCCGACGCCATGTTCGTGTATGCTGACCAAGCCAAGAACTACCAGTGTGATGGAACCATGGTTGCGGCATGGAATTGCACGCTGTGGCAAGGCTTCGGCACGGAGTATGCCTACGTCCAGACAGGGCAGTTCGGCTACGTCGTCAATGGCACGACCCTGGCGCTGTCCAAGAAGGGGACTGGAGTGCCGGAAGCGATCAACTCCTGTTTGGCAGAAGTCATGGCAACAGAAGCATACTACAACGCTTGTGTGAAGTACGACTTGGTAGATTCCTGCTACGTCAACAGCTTCTTCCCCAGCTCAGGGATCGTAATCCACGAGTACAACAAGGAGACCGACGAGCATTCGGGCGACTGCTCCAGTGGTTATTGCCCGTGCCCTGCGACTACAACTCCGACTTCAACTTCGCTTGCGCAGGGCTTCAGCATCAAAGCGTTGATGGGTGCCACACTCTCCTTTTTTGTTGCTCTGCTCCTGTAGCCTGAATACAGGCGAGAAGCCAGGGCTTGGTGTTGTGAGGTGGTCCGAGCCGGGATCAAATTGCCACAGGCAGGAGCCAAGTCCAAAGGACTTCAGAGCTCTCTGTCCTGCCAGACCACCGCATCAACCGGCACAACGACCTCTTTGCTGAAACGTGTTCAACCGATGCAAGGATCCTAATTTGCTGAAAGGTTTCAAGAAGGGGCTCCCCCCCCTCATGCGCATGTTTGCGTGATTTTGCGTGTGCCAAAAGGTTACTGCAGGGTCCATGATGAGCATCTGTGTGTCCAGCCAGACAACCAGAGTTGGTGATGCCTTTTGGGAGACCCTGCTGCAGAAGCAGTAATCAGGCTGCACACTCTGAGCGGCTTTTCTCAAACGTCTCCAAATTGCAAAGAAAACTGGTTCACACATTCTGCTAGTATATTACTTGTAGTAGCTACCGTAAACGTTACATACTGAACTCTGGATGCTTTAAACACGCCTTTCACCCGATCGTCGACTTCCTGTTCCCTGAGAAACCTGGCTGAAGAAGGTCCATGCTACGGTTTTGGGCTCAAGCTCGGAGAAGAGGCACCAAGAAGATCCTGAGGTCACCGAAGCCACTGTTCCCGTGCAATGGCGCAGAAGCTCACATTGCTGCTCGCGTTGCAGGTGCTGACCGCCTCGGCTGCTGTGACGTCCTACACGTTCGGACAGGATATCGACTACCCACCCTATGCTTCCAAGAACGCGACAAGCGGTGAGCTGACGGGATTCGCCGTGGAGTTGGTGAAGGCAATGAACGCTCATTGCTCAGCTACTTTGAACATTACCGTCGTGGAGACCCGGTGGTCCGACTGCTGGTCTTCGGCCGGAGGAGGCAGTCTCGGAGCTTTGCTGGACAACGGCACCCTGGATGCTTGCATGACCTACACGCACACGCAGGGGATTCGCAACGACTTCGCGGACTTCTCTATTGGCATCCTGGATGTGAACAAGGCAGCTGGCCTCTTAACCTTGCTGGAAAACGGCATGCCCAAAGTGGATGGCCACTCGGACCTCAACGGCAAGACCGTCGTGGATGTCGGTGGCTGGGTGCTTCCCTCAGACAAGAGCAATGTACGGCAAAGTGCACTGCCCTTGCTTTCTCAGTTTGCATAGGCATGACCATGATTTTAGTCAATCGGAAGCTTATGCACGGTTCCGAGACAAGCTGAAGCGATAGCGTCCCAGCCCCTTGCAGGTATGACTTAGAGGCCCCTGAGGCAGGAAGCAAACCCGCGTGATCAGACACGGGTCTGAGGCCCCTACGGCAGATGGCTTGGACTTCGTGACGAACAAGTGCTTAGACCAGAAGTACTCGAGCAACTACACATTGGTTGTGGGTGATGGCAACGACGCAGCAATGACGATGCTGCGTAACGGCGCAGCCGACGCCATGTTCGTGTATGCTGACCAAGCCAAGAACTACCAGTGTGATGGAACCATGGTTGCGGCATGGAATTGCACGCTGTGGCAAGGCTTCGGCACGGAGTATGCCTACGTCCAGACAGGGCAGTTCGGCTACGTCGTCAATGGCACGACCCTGGCGCTGTCCAAGAAGGGGACTGGAGTGCCGGAAGCGATCAACTCCTGTTTGGCAGAAGTCATGGCAACAGAAGCATACTACAACGCTTGTGTGAAGTACGACTTGGTAGATTCCTGCTACGTCAACAGCTTCTTCCCCGGCTCAGGGATCGTAATCCACGAGTACAACAAGGAGACCGACGAGCATTCGGGCGACTGCTCCAGTGGTTATTGCCCGTGCCCTGCGACTACAACTCCGACTTCAACTTCGCTTGCGCAGGGCTTCAGCATCAAAGCGTTGATGGGTGCCACACTCTCCTTTTTTGTTGCTCTGCTCCTTGCCTGAATACAGGCGAGAAGCCAGGGCTTGGTGTTGTGAGGTGGTCCGAGCCGGGATCAAATTGCCACAGGCAGGAGCCAAGTCCAAAGGACTTCAGAGCTCTCTGTCCTGCCAGACCACCGCATCAACCGGCACAACGACCTCTTTGCTGAAACGTTTTCAACCGATGCAAGGATCCTAATTTGCTAAAAGGTTTCAAGAAGGGGCTCCCCCCCCCTCATGCGCATGTTTGCGTGATTTTGCGTGTGCCAAAAGGTTACTGCAGGGTCCATGATGAGCATCTGTGTGTCCAGCCAGACAGCCAGAGTTGGTGATGCCTTTAGGGAGACCCTGCTGCAGAAGCAGTAATCAGGCTGCACACTCTGAGCGGCTTTTCTCAAACGTCTCCAAATTGCAAAGAAAACTGGTTCACACATTCTGCTAGTATATTACTTGTAGTAGCTACCGTAAACGTTACATACTGAACTCTGGATGCTTTAAACACGCCTTTCACCCGATCGTCGACTTCCTGTTCCCTGAGAAACCTGGCTGAAGAAGGTCCATGCTACGGTTTTGGGCTCAAGCTCGGAGAAGAGGCACCAAGAAGATCCTGAGGTCACCGAAGCCACTGTTCCCGTGCAATGGCGCAGAAGCTCACATTGCTGCTCGCGTTGCAGGTGCTGACCGCCTCGGCTGCTGTGACGTCCTACACGTTCGGACAGGATATCGACTACCCACCCTATGCTTCCAAGAACGCGACAAGCGGTGAGCTGACGGGATTCGCCGTGGAGTTGGTGAAGGCAATGAACGCTCATTGCTCAGCTACTTTGAACATTACCGTCGTGGAGACCCGGTGGTCCGACTGCTGGTCTTCGGCCGGAGGAGGCAGTCTCGGAGCTTTGCTGGACAACGGCACCCTGGATGCTTGCATGACCTACACGCACACGCAGGGGATTCGCAACGACTTCGCGGACTTCTCTATTGGCATCCTGGATGTGAACAAGGCAGCTGGCCTCTTAACCTTGCTGGAAAACGGCATGCCCAAAGTGGATGGCCACTCGGACCTCAACGGCAAGACCGTCGTGGATGTCGGTGGCTGGGTGCTTCCCTCAGACAAGAGCAATGTACGGCAAAGTGCACTGCCCTTGCTTTCTCAGTTTGCATAGGCATGACCATGATTTTAGTCAATCGGAAGCTTATGCACGGTTCCGAGACAAGCTGAAGCGATAGCAGGTATGACTTAGAGGCCCCTGAGGCAGGAAGCAAACCCGCGTGATCAGACACGGGTCTGAGGCCCCTACGGCAGATGGCTTGGACTTCGTGACGAACAAGTGCTTAGACCAGAAGTACTCGAGCAACTACACATTGGTTGTGGGTGATGGCAACGACGCAGCAATGACGATGCTGCGTAACGGCGCAGCCGACGCCATGTTCGTGTATGCTGACCAAGCCAAGAACTACCAGTGTGATGGAACCATGGTTGCGGCATGGAATTGCACGCTGTGGCAAGGCTTCGGCACGGAGTATGCCTACGTCCAGACAGGGCAGTTCGGCTACGTCGTCAATGGCACGACCCTGGCGCTGTCCAAGAAGGGGACTGGAGTGCCGGAAGCGATCAACTCCTGTTTGGCAGAAGTCATGGCAACAGAAGCATACTACAACGCTTGTGTGAAGTACGACTTGGTAGATTCCTGCTACGTCAACAGCTTCTTCCCCAGCTCAGGGATCGTAATCCACGAGTACAACAAGGAGACCGACGAGCATTCGGGCGACTGCTCCAGTGGTTATTGCCCGTGCCCTGCGACTACAACTCCGACTTCAACTTCGCTTGCGCAGGGCTTCAGCATCAAAGCGTTGATGGGTGCCACACTCTCCTTTTTTGTTGCTCTGCTCCTTGCCTGAATACAGGCGAGAAGCCAGGGCTTGGTGTTGTGAGGTGGTCCGAGCCGGGATCAAATTGCCACAGGCAGGAGCCAAGTCCAAAGGACTTCAGAGCTCTCTGTCCTGCCAGACCACCGCATCAACCGGCACAACGACCTCTTTGCTGAAACGTTTTCAACCGATGCAAGGATCCTAATTTGCTAAAAGGTTTCAAGAAGGGGCTCCCCCCCCCTCATGCGCATGTTTGCGTGATTTTGCGTGTGCCAAAAGGTTACTGCAGGGTCCATGATGAGCATCTGTGTGTCCAGCCAGACAGCCAGAGTTGGTGATGCCTTTTGGGAGACCTTGCTGCAGAAGCTTAGCATCAATGTGGGCATGCAAGGCGCTCTCGATCTGCAGAAGCAAAGCAGCACGAAGCGCGGCCCTTGCCCCTAGCCCAGACAGCCTGGACCCTTCAGCCCTGAGGAACAAAATCCACAGACACCGCCCAAAGGAACAAGTTTGAAGATCGCAGTCGAACCCAAAGTAGCCGAGCGTCGGTGCCAGCGCTGCAGCCATGGTCAAGGGCAAGGCAGTCGTGGTCTTTTGAAGGGAAGTGCTATGGGCGTGCGAAGCAGCAGTAGTAGTAGAAGTAGTAGCAGTAGTCGTTGTAGCATTCGTGGTAGTAGGAGTGTCGTAGCACTGCTAGTAGCAGTAGCAGTTGTGGTCGCCGTGGTGGTGGCAGTGGTGGTGTTGTTTTTTCAGGGGGAGTTTCGAATTCTGATCTGTCTTTCCAGTGCGAAGCGCCCTTCAACTCGAAGCTCCCTGAAAGCATCCGGGTTAGGTTTAGGTAGGGTTTAGAGTTTAGAGTTTAGGGCCTCCAGCCTGCAGCCTCAACCCGATACCCCAATCCAGGATGATTTAGGCTGTAAAGCTTCGTAGTAGCTCCTTAGACCCGAAGCCTTCACCTTAGACCCACCCCCCTCGCAGGCCTTCAGGAAGCAGTGGAAGGCCGCCTGCTCTTTCAGGCTTAGGATACGGCGGTTTAGGATGTTGGTGTTTAGGGTTTTGAGAACTGTAGGGTGCTCGGGTCTTATTTTGTCATCCAGCCTCCAAGCTGGATTCGCGGTGTGCGGGCGCAGCCGCGTTGTTGCAAAGGCATTTCCTGCATCCGGTGACGGTTTGGGAGCTTGATTGCTTCAGTGCAGGTGGTCTCTAGCTTCGGGTTCAGGGTGGGGTCGCACTCTCAAACTCCTAAACCCTGGAACTAAAAGCCTGAAAGGGTGAGTGGTTCAGGGCTAGGGACCCCGAGAAGCCTTAAACTCTGCACCAACAGCCTGGACACCAAACCCAAAGCCCGAAAAGCCACTCAAGCCGATACCCAAGGCCCTTGGCTCTGAGCTTTAAAACTTTACAGCCTTAGCCCCAGACCGTCAAAACATAAATCTCAAAAGTCAAGACCCAGAGCATCCCAGAGCCAGGCCTTAGAGGCCAAGCTTAGGATTCTTTTTGTGTGTTTATGGTGGTTTAGGAGTTCGGGGCTTCGGGTTTTGGGATTGACGGCCCCCCTGAAGTCCTAAAAGCCCTGCAGCTTAAGCCGAAAATGCCAAGCTATATCTCTGGTCAATCCGAGCCTGAGGTGTCAAGCCCTGTACTTGCACCCTAAACTCCTGAACCCTCAAGCCTGTAGAGTACCCGTAAAGTACCTTAGTTCTACCAACCGACCACGGGGTCCAGGAGAAGCGGAAGCCCACGAAGACGCGCGCTTCCTCCCGTGCGGTGAGCATCCGCCGGGACCGGGTCCTCAGTGCAGGGCGGAACTAGTGAGCGGAATGTAAAGGATTACGACGGTTTTGCGATGTCTGGCGGGCATAGCATCTTCGTGAAGGGCAGGAGGACTTCGCATGTCGGTTGACAAGAAGGCTTAATACACTGAATTGCGAGGATCCTCTAACTATCCTGTTTTCTCGGTATCGGAATTCTCTTCCGGCTTTGGCCTCACGGGGTCTGGAACCGCGTGAGCAGTGCGTAGCGTTTACCATTGCAGCAGCTGTCAGCTTCGTTTTCGACGGCTCCTTTTAGGGGTCAACGCCACGTGAAGCCGATCCTCCCACTAAAGTTTGGGGGCTAAAGGGAGTTCGTTGTTTACGGTTACTCTGAATTATGTAGCCCGAAACCTAGAACAATACACGCACCCCGACACTGGTGCGAAAGCAGTGCCCCGAAGAACCGAAGCTCCCATGTGCCTTGAACGAGGAGCGGGAACGCCTTTGTAGTGATTTTTAGTTACGCGCTCATGATGGGATCTTGATTCGAAGGGGATCTTGGCTGGCCGGCTGATGCTGCTCGAAGTCCGGGTTGTGCTCACGATGCTCGCAGCTCCGCCGGATGCTCATGATGCTGGCCGCTCGGGTGATGCTCACGATGCTCGCTGTTCCTGTGATATAGGGGCCTAATGGGGTGCCAAGGCTCCGGCTGATGCTCATGATGCTGGCCGCTCGGGTGATGCTCACGATGCTCGCTGCTCCCGTGATATAGGGGCCTAATGGGGTGGCAAAGCTCCGGCTGATGCTCATGATGCTGGCCGGTCGGGTGATGCTCACGATGCTCGCTGCTCCTGTGATATAGGGGCCTAATGGGATGCCAAGGCTCCGGCTGATGCTCATGATGCTGGCCGCTCGGGTGATGCTCACGATGCTCGCTGCTCCCGTGATATAGGGGCCTAATGGGGTGGCAAAGCTCCGGCTGATGCTCATGATGCCGGCCGCTCGGGTGATGCTCGCGATGCTCGCTGCTCCTGTGATATAGGCGCCTAATGGGGTGGCAAGGCTCCGGCTGATGCTCATGATGCTGGCCGCTTGGGTGATGCTCACGATGCTCGATGCTCGCTGCTCCTGTGATATAGGCGCCTAATGGGGTGCGCTCGGGTGATGCTCACGATGCTCGCTGCTCCCGTGATATAGGGGCTCTCGTGATATGGGGGCCTAATGGGGTGGCAAAGCTCCGGCTGATGCTCATGATACTGGCCGCTCGGGTGATGCTCACGATGCTCGCTGCTCCTGTGATATAGGCGCCTAATGGGGTGGCAAGGCTCCGGCTGATGCTCATGATGCTGGCCGCTCGGGTGATGCTCACGATGCTCGCTGCTCCTGTGATACAGGCGCCTA